TATTTCGAGAGAGCCTGCGAGAAAGCCAAACAAACAACTAAATCACTCCGATCAGCGGCATTCAGTAGAACACTATTCGCTGCAGAAACACACAAAATGCATCATGAAATAAACATTGAACGATGAGCGAGGGCTATCGGCATACTTTATCAATCGCCATAAAAAATATAGTGTACAAAAGCGGGGATGTTCCAATAAGTAGTATCAAGCAGTTTTACACGATAAAAGATTCCCTGGAGGCGCACGACCGGTTTATAGATTGTTGGTGCTCGTCAGGGATGCATGTCCGAAACCCTTTTGTTAGTTTATTCTTATGTTGCACCCAGAAAAAATATATATATCTATATATGTGTGTGCGTGTGTATGTATGCATGTGTATGCTGACTCACCAATTCACTCAATCCGAACAATTTTCGACTTCGACGAACGTACTCGTTTACCTGTTTTTGAAGCCGCATTCGAAACATGCGTTCATCAGCAGATACCGTAGTCTGTGACAAAGAATGCAAGTTCGGAAGTAAGGTGGTCGGTAAAATTGCAATCAAACGGTTTCAATCGTCAATAACGGATTTCTATTCGAATTCGAAAGAAATATTGTGCATACAAACAGTTCGTAAAGAGAAAATACTGTCATTTTGTATGTGATACGACTACCGAAAACAACGCACTTACATCGAGGTTATTGAACGTACCGGTGGACATGGACTGTCCATTTGATCCTAATTATCGTACTGATGGACACCTCAATTAAAAATCGTTTTAATCGATTCATATCATACCGCTTAGGAATGCAACTTCAAATAATCCGGAAACTGAAAAAAACGCTGTTTTCTAGTCACGATTTGGAAGAATAGAGTGAACACAGTGAGAATACTCAATTTGATGATTTGCCCTATGACCGAGATAACGATGCAGATTCAAATGAAATAGAATAAAACAAACGGGAATGAAAGGGGTTAGCTGAATTCTAGTTTAACAAGATGCATATACGTAAATGTAAATGAGGAAAAACACAATACCGATCTCACCATTGTGCTGAGAAACACTTTCGGAGGTGGAGGTACGGGGAGAGCGGGCACGAATACACCGGTTCCGGTCTGTAAAAAACAAAAACCGGATTCGAAAAGCGACTAAACTCGATTGCAATTGTAACTATTATAACTTGTGTGTGAGAGGGGGAGTAAATGCGAAATTTTAGTCATGTACAGAACAGCCTGATTAAAATCGTTCAATAGGTGGCAAATTTGGTTTCATGTTTGCGTATAATTACACTGTGGAGAACAGACGCGCATTTGGGGTAAGTGAGGGGAGGGGGCTGATCAGGGGCTAGAGAACGAACCAAGTTCACTCCGATTGCTATTACTTACCGCGATTGCAGCCAACAGAAAATCACCAACAGTGATACGAAATTTCAGGCCGAACAGGGCATTCATTCCTCGGAGCTAAACGAAGAACGAAAATAAATAGTTCGAGACAAAAAAAGCAATCACACGTATAAAATGATCGAACACTACCTACCCGTAATTTTTGTAACAAACGATAGTGAAGTTCATATTCCACGAAAGGTAACAGCTACGGATGGAAGGGTAAGATGTGACTAATCAGATCAACGATACCTCGCTCAGTTCGTTTGCGGCTGCCTCACTTTTGTTATCCTTTTTCGAACGGCATATTCTGAAATGTGATCGAAATAGAGGTGAATGGCATGCACGTACAGTGAGCTGTCGAGTGTATTCCAGAATACAGTAAATCAGACAACTAAAACAACAAGAGAACGAGCGACCGTCTGGACTCGACGGTTGGAATGAGCACCGCAGAGAAGATGGACCAAAACGAACCCGATTGCCCACAAAGAGAATAAACATTGAACCGGAGAACACAACAGCGAGGAGAAGTGAAAGGACAAAATCAATAACGAGAGACAGAGCAGAGTAGCAAGTGAAATGAGAGGTAAAACGGAGAAGTAACCAGCAAACTTGAAGTGGATGCTGTTAAGTGCGTAATTAAGCACAAAGAAACTAGGAACAAGGAAGACCGGCGGAGAAGCAAGTCAGTAAATTCATCGGAACCTAAACGATTGGGGAAAAGAACGCGGTGTAAGAAAGAACTTTCAATTCATTCGGCTGATTGGGATCATACTTAGGAGAATGGATGTTAAGTTATTGCCTTCACATTTCAGGAATAATCAGCGATGCACAAACGTAACCGATAAGATTATCGAATGTCTAAGGTCGGTTCCCCTCTATCGGATACTGAGAAGTAAGCAGCCTCGGGGGGAACCGGAGAAGAAAATTTTCAAACCTCTTTATGTATATTACATCCACGAAGACAACTCATCCCAACACCGGAGATAGTCAAATAAAAGTAAGTGTGTTATTAGTCTTTACGTTCGAACCGGATCATTCTTAATTTGATTCCAAACTTTGGGCCAGTGATGCTGAAAACCCTCATCATGCTAGGAGATCTATTGATAACATAGTGTACAATATGGTGACTGTAGTATCCAAGAGGCCTCCGAAATCCTCAGTAAAGTTGGTGTGGGTGTTAGGGTTGCAGTTGGTCACCACTCCCTTGCACCTCATGAAATGTTCCCACACGACCAAGTGTCTCAAATAGCTTCTGCTGAGGAAGCCCTATTCACTGCCTTCTTGTGGCGAAGGTGTTTTCCCACTAATGTGAGAGGACGAAAAGCCGACAAATACTGGCATTTCACTAAGGAAAGTTAACTAAACACTCTGATTTCAAACCGACTATAATGAGGCGTACGAACCACACTCGCCCACAACTTCGTGACTGTGGTAGTGGTCACCGGCTCGATTGAACGTCGAGGTGTATCAGGTACCTTGGAAGTTTGAACCCGTCCGAAGGGCGTATGATCCGCTGAATGGATTGCGGTTTTCGCACACCGCCCCGCTGCCTTGCCGGTCAGGCTTTGGTTAGCCGAAGACTCCGGCTGTGGATTCCTCAAGAAAATTCACCTGCGTTGGCCTGGGCAACTTGGCAGTATTCAGCCCACAAGCCAATCATGGAATGATTTTCTTTTCTATGATGATCACTGTACCATGATTTGTTTGGTAGACGGTTTAGCCTCAGATAAATGTGAAACATAATATGATACAATAGTATTAAATAAAATAACAAACCGGAACTAAAAACATAAAACGGAAAATGAAATCTTCCATTTCTTACCGGGCTTGAATCAATGCTGGTTTTCCAGTCACTGGGAAATCCGGGGGGAAGTCGGCTGAGCTGAGGATCACATCAGGTACCGAGGCAGCTTTACAACAGCAGCAACGCGAAGAGGATGGAACTTGAAAAAGTCCACTATGAGCACTGTCTTTCGCTTTGGGNCTTTGGGTAGGTGACAAATAGTGCAATCTGAGCTATTTACATTGGAAGCCGGGAATCGGGCGAGAGCGAGCGAAGGATAAGGTCATCCACGATTGCGGTTGTTTATTAAAAAATTGAACCAAAGAATTGTCCAAAAAATGTTACAGCACCAATGTCTTTTTCAAATTCAACATGTGAAGCAAAATCGCATTCATTAGGTGCCTTTTCATTGCTTAGGTACTTATACCCAACGAAAAGTCAAACGTGTTCTTTAAGAAAAAATGAGCTCGATGGGTACAGGGGAAGGACATTGGAAGAGTATATTCTCCTATTTCACTGGAAATCAGTAGCTGATCACATACCTCAAGTGAGAAGGACTTAAGTTCAATTGTTCAAGAGGATTCAAGATGTTCGATCAATTGCGCCAGGGCTTCGTTCGCTGCTGTGAAGAATGTCGACTTGCTTGGGCGAGTCTTTGGTCGGTTTGATTCAGCATTAGTCCTACGTTTGCTGTCAGTGTACATTCGACCGTACACGGAATACTCTATCCAAGCTTGGAGTCCATGTGGTTGCAACGTGATCGCAAGATGCTCGAGCGCTCACAAAGGATGGCCAGCATTATGGTCAAGGGCTTGAATTGCCTCACGTATGAGAGGGGCTTACGATCGTTGGGCCTATATTCTGCCCCGTACTGTC